TTGAATACTTCGTTCGTAGGTATATCTATATTCTTGTTAAAATTTTCGAAGCTCAACATACTCAGATGAAGAGACAAATGTGCGTGGGATTGATGTTTAACTGTAACTTTAAGCAAAATTTGGCAGCTTCTGCCCCACCGTGAACCGTGCGATTGGATTTTCATGTAGTGTCTTTTTGTGGGTATATTTTGAACTATCTATTTATTATATGCAATTAAATTTTCCGTGGATCTGATTTAGTCTGTAAATGATACCTTAACGCGAATAACAAGTATGGTTTTGGTATCATTTACTTGAAATCAGTGAAGCAATTATCTGCTATTTCTCGTTGAAACTGTCTTTAAGTGCCATTGATTGTGTATGTAACGGAATTTCTAAAAGTAAGATGTAAGTAAAATATCCACGACTTTCATCAAAAGCATTTAATAATATAAGATGAGTGGATTTTAGAATTTACAAGGTTTGTCGCAGCATCTGGATGCTTGAAATTACCATACTAGTCAGTCGGGAACGCCACACTGGCACTGTGTCGCATAGTGTCAGCCGTATCGTGTTATTTACCATACCGATATATTGGTAACTATGCTGCAGCTTCACTGTGTAAAAAATCAAGTAGACAGTATGGTAAATAACACCCAAACTCTGGTAAATCCCACCGATTATTTTTTTCAGTGTATGCTGAGTTTTTTAAAAATACGTTTCGTCCAGAAATTGGCCAAAAAATGCGAAGTAAACGGGCTCAAAGCTACTTAGGGCTATGCTGATGAGGCACGAGGAGACCCTACATTTTTAAATTCGAAAAGTTTAGGGACCTCCTGTGCCCCCCAAAAAATATGTGATTACTTTATTTGTTTCAAAAATCTACCAAATTTTTGTTCTCTGTGAAATGCCCTAATATGTTACTCTGTTTTGTTACCTCAGATGGTATGCTAGAAAATCACATCTCAACCGTGAAACTCCTGAGCTATGCATTTTGTTTGCAGTGTTTAAAAAACTCCGCTTTTTCCTCTTTTATTTTTTCAAAGGAGAACGAACCAAAATTATTCCTTGAAGGTTTTTTAGAATTTATTTTCCATAGAAAAACGTACATTAGGGAAGTTTTTCAGAATAATTGGCGGTGGGTGGTTCCTTATTTACAAAATAAATTATAACAGGGAGTTGGCAACGCCGCAAACCGAGATACGTGGTTTCAAAGTTTCACAATCGATGTAACCACGATGAAGTAAAACTTTAGGCAAGACGACACTGTCCTAAGCATCTAAACGATCATTTCAAAACTAAAAATCTTCTCGACGGGGGCTACTCTAATGACACGTGGGAGTTTGTGTACAAAAAGCCAATTTATTCGGATTACGACAGACAACAATCAATACCGTTATAAGTTAGGTTGGGAGAACCAGACGGTCCGTCTAGACGGTTAAATTATAACCGATTAATTTAAACAATTCACTGTCGGTGATGACATTATGCACGGATCGGAGAAAACAGGGGACCGCTTGTGAAAATTGATGAGAATGTCATTATCTCTTGAAAAAATCGAGTCTTGGTCAGCGTACTCATGATCTGGGAAAACGGTAAAAGTGCGTGATTCTTGCCGGGCCGCGATGAGACAGGAAGGCCATCATCACTGCTAGGTGAGGTCGTCTTCCTCGCCAAATTTAGTTATCGAAGTAGTGGCCCAAGTTGCGGCTTGTTCAGTGAAAAGTTTGTGAGGAATGTGATATTTTTTTTGAAGGAGGATAATTTTTGGGTGTCCTGTGAGTATTGAAGTATTTTTGATCATCTCGCTTCCTTTCTGTCGCACTTCTTTTTTCAAAAGACTTAAGACTTAAGACTTAAGACTTTCCTTAAGCATATGTAATACCGATCTCTATAATTTCACAATGTAAAAAAAACACTTTCTTCTCCGAAGGGTTGTGGGTCGATGGAGGGCAATGGCAGTTAGGTTTCGTAGAGCGTCAGAAAGTGCTATAAAGGGACCTTAAAAAAAAAAAAAAAAAAAAAAAAAAAAAAAAAAAAAAAAAAAAAAAAAAANAAAAAAAAAAAAAAAAAAAAAAAAAAAAAATCTGAGCATTTTGAAGGGTGGAATATAAATTAATGAAGGGACCCGACCTCTTGTCATTCTTTATTTTTTTAATGGAAAACTTTCAAAGTCAATTCTTCAAAACCTTTGCGATTCTTTCTCTCTGCATGGGAAGGAAGCTCTGCGAAAATTTTCAGGAATGATATTTATCGGTTCCTCTTCAAAAAAATAAATTAGGAGCGGAGATGTTTAAGCACCGTAGACAAGGGTATATGGTCTGGTAGTTTAACCGTCGATATACATTTTATTACGTATCAGATGTCCTACTTTAACATTTCATGCGTTAATGGACCACTAGACAAGGTACGAATTTAAGCATTCTGATACTTGTTTCTTAATCAGAATTTCACGTAAAGCACGATTCGCGCAACGAAAACTAATGAAACAAACTCCAAACGAAGATATTAACGTTTTTATTTCACATTGGTTACGAGGAATTTGAACTGCCCGCTGACAAGAAACTCAAAGCTCTACGTGAGTCAAATCGCGCACTACAACGGTTTCAACAAGCTTCTCAATCGAGTAATGTTCATTTCCCACCATGTGTTGTTCAAACTATAAGCAATTTGCTACAGCTGAGCCAAAGCGTCAAGATTGAGGTTTCCCGATTTTTATATCGTAGAGACTGTCATGATAACGTTTAGCGCACGATGTGAATCACGCAGAGCATTGAGTTTTCATGAGCGGGTGGTTTGAATTCACGCTTCAATAATCATTCTATATCTTTGGAAGGAGTTGATTTCGGTAATTTTCGTTGTGCGCGTCGTATTCTGCGTGAAACTTTAATTAAGAAACATGTATCAGAATGCTAAAATTCGTACCTTGTCTAGTGGTCCATTGGGTCATTTATTAGATTTCATTTCCAAATTATTTGGCAGATAATTGTAAATCTATGAATCAAAAAGCATTGAGTTACATTTCGACTCGGCTCCCCTTTTTCCTGGTAGATCTACAATTTTTCGCGATAGTCGGAACTGTTAAATTATGCTTAGTGCTTTTAGTCTTAACGTGTAAATCTGATCAAGGCGTATAGAGTCATTTGAGTCAGCAAAAGCCTATTTGATGGATTAATATAATTCTTTAACGCAATTTATGACTGTGGAACCTTAATCCTGGTAATTATCTTCTGATTAATGAGGAGTAAGCACATAAAAAAGCATACTTACTCAGAAATGTTCCTTACTGAATTCCTAATTCGAGACATTAATTGCCAAAAAAATAATCCAAATACTAATATTGAATTCATAATTTTTGTTCAGGGACAGATTCCGGAAAGTCTGGGCTAATTGAACGAGGAAGATTAACTAACAGCGAAAACAAGCATAATCTATTCATGGATATTCCAAAAGTATCATCTTTTAAAGGCATGCAGCCTTGCTTTGGGCGATTACTGAGCAGGCAAGATACATTTTTTGTTTAAAAAGCTTACAAGCCCAATCTTAATGAAATCACGCAAGTCATGACATCCATTCCAAGACTTTTAGATAAATGTTTAAAATTTGCAATTAAATGACCAATCAACTCCCTTAAGCATCAATTTTCAGCACAACATTTTTTACAAAAATCACAAAAATTTTATCAAATCAAAGTCTTCAAGGCCAATAATTCATTTACGGAAAATGTTTAGAAACATTCAAGCCAGCTAAACCTCTAGATTCTATCAAAATTACTATGTTCTTGATACAACAGGCTCTGATCTGGTACTGGTTCCTACTGAAGGAAATCACATCCTACGAGATTGTTCCGCTACAGAGTGGAATTCTTTTTCAAAGGGAACAGAATATAATACTCAGTAGTCACACCTGGACTGTGTACCTGCATTTTAATTTGACCGAAATCAGACTCGGTAAAGAAAATCTAGAGGCAAATCTGCATGAAGTTCGTCGAACGATCGATGACTATTCGAAAATCTCATCGAGCAAAAACAAATTTCAAGATCTGCTCGAGTCTTTAGAGAACGTTAACTCCAGATTAGGATCGGATCTTCAGACGATTATTGACATGATCCCGCAGTCAAAACGGCGTCGAAAAAGAGCATCCACCGAAAACCATTTTTCAGAAATGGCTCTCCCTGAAAACCTCTCCTTCTGGCAGAGGAAGCCAATGAGAGCACGATACTCAAAAACGCACGAAAAAGCCTCTCTTTTCATGGCAAGAGAAATCGATAAAAATCAAGGGAATTTTCAAAAAGAATCAGGGGCTTTAGATAAAACTTCAAATATTGCAGACGTACAAAGAGATTTTTTAAACTCAAAAATTCAGCAGCGTAGATCAATTTCCGAAGACCATGATTCGAATCAAGAACCATGTAGAAAGGAGTCCCTGATAAGTCAGACAAGTCAGACGCAGGCTGCGTCTTTTTCAAATGAAATTCTGTCGAAAAATTATTTAGATGAGATTCTTCTTAATTCAAATGTATTAGAACCGCGGAAAGATTTTATACACTCACAGATTCGCCACAGAAGAGCGCTATCCGAAGACTTGCATTTGATTCAAGGGCCGTATAGAGATGAACCTCTGATAAGGCAAACAGGCCGTAATAAAGTTGCATCTATCTCTAATGAAACTGTAATTGACATCATAATTAATTCAAGTATATCCAAACCGCAAAGAAAATGTTTACACTCTAATAGTCGCCAACGGAGAGCGCTATCTGAAGGCTTTCGTTTGAGTCGAGGTCCGTCCTTGATAAGACACATAGATCAAACTGAAAAAGCGCCTTTTCCAAATGAACATCACCTCAAAAAGCGGAGAAAAAGGGCATTTACAAGTGGCGGGAAGTTGATAAAATTCCTGTTCGGGAACCCGGACGAAGAAGATCGGAAAGAGATTTTCAGCAACCTGCACAAACTGAACATCAACCACAAGAACATAATGATGAACTCAAAGGCCCAAAGCCTAGTCATCTCCAACACAGAGGAGACGATCGCAAAGGCCCTGCACTTGCTCCAGAGCTTGAGCGAGAATGTGACGGACTTCAACCGTCGCTTCCAAGAGCGGGTCAACGCCAATGACCGGAACATGTCGATCGTCCTCGACAAATTGATCCACGAGAACAATATTGAGATCGCACTCACTTCATTGGTGTATTTCTCGATCGAGACCCAGCACGCCATCACAGAGTTCAGGAACGCCATACAGACCTCCCTGAGTCGAGTTCTGTCGCCCATCCTCATCCCTTCTGATGTCCTTATCGAGATTTTGGAGAAGATTAGGAACTGCCTGGAGAAACCTTTGGAGTTGATCGTGCCTGGAACTCACTCGACTGTGCATACTTACTACGAGTTGTCAAAGGTGAGTCAAAATGATCATACTTTTTTGGGATTCCCCGAAGAGACAAGTTCGGTCACATGACGGTAAGTACTGGTAAGACCTATACAGGCCGTATACTTTTCGGTTCGTGCATCAACACTCTCGGTTCTTAAAATCATGTCCGTTGTTCATGAAACAAAATTTTTAATTCAAATCGAACTATGGCAAAGGCTCGGTTATAAGAACCGAGAGTGTAGTTACATGAACCAAAAAGTACGGCCTATGTAGGACACAGTATACTTACCATTCATAACACCGAATTTTTTCTCAGTGTGAATTTTATTGTTATTCTAGATGCTAGGGTAGATTTTCCTGAGGTATATTGGTATAGGTTTGGAAGTCTTCGACCAGCTGTTGGTAGTTTTTTTCATCGAAGATACCTAATGTTGCTCTTACAGAGTTCGCTCATCGTATATTGAGACAAAAGTCAAATTGTATTTTCATTAGCTATCACCAAAGATGTCATATGCTTGCCTTACACCTGTTGATCGGTGCTGATTCTGAGCTGATAAGGAACTGGTTTTTGGTTTCAATACACGGTGAACTCGAGCTAAGTTGGACTGTCTTGGGTCTTTTCTTTTTTGGGTTCTCGTCTACCAAATTGGAGGATAAAGAGAAGGAAGAAAGGACGAGGAGGATTCAGAAAAAATAAAGAATATAGAGAAACTGAGGAGGGAACAGAAGAAGAGAAAGAAATTATTATTCTCACTCTTTCTCTTTTTATTCCTCCTCTCTATCTTTGTCCTCTTTTCCTCAGTCCTCTTATTATTTTCCTTTTTTCACTTTTTCCATTTCTTCTTTGTGCTTAGGACGCAGTCGATTATGCATACTTGCTACGAGTTGTTGAAGGTGAGTCATATGATAGCATCTCGTTTTGGAGGATGTCATTCAATATTTCGTGTTGAGGAAAAACGTCATGTAAAGAATTAGATGTGAATTAATTAAAGATAATAAGTTTTCCTCTCAATACATTTTCACGCTTAAGTGATAAGTCGTGCACTGAGTGCGCTGAGCCACTGTTTAAAGTTTGAGAATCACCAAGACTCGAAAAAAAAATAAAAGATGAGAGAAGAATGGTATGGAAAGGAACTGAATTAAGATGTCTACAAGAGATATAATTGTTATGATAGTTTCATGCTCGTGTAAAATACTGGTTCGTTTATGTAAAATAAGCTTCCAAAATTGCAAAAAGCTTGCAAAAGAGGTGATTTTAATTTTTTAAATTGAAATTTCCAACTATTGATAAATATAATGAAAATGTTGAGACCGCCAACTCTTTAATCTAAATTTCTGACGTTGCAGACTTCTTGTCACATTCTATTGTCGTAAAGAGAAACTGTATAAACTAGTCTCTTGAAATTTTTCCTGATTTTTTTAACCCTGTGTAGAATATGCTGAGCATACATTGAAAAAAATAATATGCTATTTCAGCACCTAGGATGTCAAAAATGTGTCTGGTGATCCCAAGATGCTGCCTTTACTGCCCTCGCAATTAACTTTAAATTCTATGAATGCAAATTCAACTACGTGAACAATCCAGGCAGCATCTTATGATCACCAGACACACTTTCAGCATCCTAGGTGCCAAAACAGCATACGATTTTTTTCTGTGTAATTCGAACACAAAGTTCATGTGCATTCTTTCCATGAAACACAGCAGCAGTAGACGTTTTGAATCATCGCGAACGAGGTTCGTATTTTGCGACAAATTTACCATCAATAAGCTAACTTTTTATGATGTCCGAATGGCATTTCAACGTTTTTAAAATAGAGTCATCAATATTTTATCTTCGCAGGTGTCTCTAGGAGTCGTGGGCGAGGAGCTGATTATAACAGTGACGTTGCCAATTTCTGACGTTTCCGGACAATTTCAGATGTACAAAATTGTGTCAATACCATGGCTCATGAACAGAACCGACATTTTTATTCAGTGGGAGGTCGCAGACTACTTCATCATCGACGAAAGTCGAAAGTTCCACGCCGCCATCACCTCGTCCCAGAGGGAGCAGTGTCAGGGCAAACATATTACAATTTGCCCCATCTCCACCGCCCTCTACACAGAGACGAGCCCCATTTGCGAATTCTCCCTCTTCATGGGCGAGCACAATCAACTCTGCATGAAGACGGTAGGTAGCTTTTTATTTGTTGCTTATTCCCAGGCGAGCAACAAATATTAAAAACTTTTAATTAAAGTAGATAGCGTAAAGCAAACCAGCCACATTTTCATAAAGATTTTTGAAAAAAACCCCGTATGCAATAGTTTTTGACTGATAATGTATATGTTCATGACCTAAGACAAATGACATAAGATTTAAAATCCATAATAATATAAATAGGAGCCTTTGAGTTGGATGATTATTCATAATTAGTTTATTCTTAATTCCTGGATCGATAATTTCATTGCTTGTAGATGCAAAAGTGTATGATACAAATACAATGTCTGTTAGACACATTAATAAATGTAAATGCAGTGTAGTTGCACTGTCACATTTGCAAAAATATGAAAGGAAAAACGTACTATTTGCGCGCAACCACCATTGACGATCAGTTTTATTCTTCTATTGAGCAAGACTATTTGTTTAAAACCACCCCATTTTTCTCACCCCGTCTTAAATGAAAAAAAAAAAAAAAAAAAATTACGTAGGCGAAATCGGCCTATGAGAACGCATTTACGACCTTTACGGGTAATTCAATTGTATGCAAATTACCAGTAAGGCTCCCTCAAGCGCCTAAATATTCATCAAGTGTTTTTATACTTTATGGTGACAAAAATGGGTCTTTTGCGCTAGTCACAGAATTGTAATTTGATGCTTTAATCTTGTAGATCAGCTAACAATAATAAGATCCGTCTAAACAGTAACTTTCTACGTTGAATATTAACCGAGATATCGCGCCTTGAAAAACTCGATTTATGACGTCATCCACCGCGGTAGTACATACCGTGTTGTGCACAACCGCGGTTGATGACGTCATAAATCGAGTTTTTCAAGGCGCGATATCTCAGTTGGACTGCATTTTGAAACTTGGAACTATAAACTCTAGCCCAGTTTAAAAACAACGTATGTGCCATTAGTTTCCCTGTGCACAGAAGTGTTTTTCCAGGAGGGCCAGAATTTATAGTTCCAAATTGCAAAATGTAGTCCAGTTAATATTCAACGTAGGAAGATGCTGTTTGGACGGATCTCATCATTTTTAACTGATCTACAAGAATCAAGCATCATCACAGAATTCTGTGACCAGCGCAACTGACCCATTGTTATAATCTTGTGAATTTCAGGTCGATAAGCTGAAAAATAACATAATCAAATCTATACCGTCTGCGTGGGTTGTGTCCGTCGTGCAGCCAACTAGCCTGACCCTAATCTGCCCGAACCACACAATTTACAACGAGAAAGTCGAGGGGAGTTTCCTGATCAAAAACGCAACCGAGTGCGAAATTCTGAGTCGTTACTTCAAACTTCAGCGGGTCATCGGAAATAACATGAGCATTCAAGCGGACTTCAAACTTCTGGCCATCCCCAAAATCCACATCTTGAACGAGGATGAACGGATCCAAGTCATCGATATCGGAATTGACGACAAGTTGACGGATAAAATCAAGTCGGTCATCGACCAGAATGAAAAGGCAACTTCCTTCTCGGCCATGCTTCACGAAGTGAACAAGTACTACGATGAGCCTTTCATGGAGCCGATGACGGCATTTGCAGGAACCATCAGTCTTTACTGTCTAGCCGTAGGAGTGAGCGTTTTTATGCTGTTTTTCAAATTCAGAAAATATTTGAGACTATCTCATCGCGGTACTCCTCATGTTACATTACAAGTGAAAAATATCGGGCAGAGCCCCCGAGAGGTGTCTGTTTAGTATCAGTGGCCATTTTGCAAGTTGGCAACACCGTTTTCCTCTATTTGAATCCATTAAAAATATCGATATTAAGTGAATCTATTAGGAATCGATTGTTTTACATATATTCAAATGGAGGAGAAAGTAGTGTTGCAAACTTTTAAGATTTGTAATACTGTTACGATCGTTGCCAAATTTAGTTTGATAAACCAAGACTATGCCAAAAACTAGTATATTTTGTCTAATTATTAAGAACAATTTCCTCGCAGTTTGAATGTAATTATCTGGGAATTTCAAGGAAATATGTATAAAACTTTCCTCAGAGACAAATATTATGTCGAAAAAAATTTGAGAAAATTCGAATTTTCATGCATTGTTTTTCCACAGCGCGGCATAATAGAGTCCAGTATTTTAACAAACTTTTAAACCTTTCACCCTCGTCAAGGATTTAGAAAAAGAAAATTAGTGCTATGAATAATTTTCTGTGTGGTATTGAACTGTATTCTATCCAATTCAATTCAGTTTTTGAATGATGATAGAAACATGTTTTATCGGCTCATTCCAACGATTCTGTCTCAAGTCAAATGTAAATGGAAAGAACTCTTAGATTAGAGTTTAGATGAATAACCATACTTAGAAGAATGCGGACACCATGTAGCACCATACTTCAAAATTTCAAATCTCTGAATAATTCCAACTTAAAAAAGAAGAACTCCACTTGATAAGTTGTTGAGTTGGTAGCTTTGAAATGTTTGAGGCCGAAATTCAAAAAATAAGCTGTTATTGTTTACTGGGGGGCTTTTGATTAATAAGTTTGTTCAAAATTTAAGGTTTGCAAATAAAATGTCTACTACAGTAAATATTTCACTTCGTTTGCAATGATATTTCCAAATATTATCCGGAACATTTAGGCCAGACGGACTTCTCTCTAAAAGAATCACACATTTTTTATTTTTGAATAATTAAACAAAAATCGCATTATTTAACCGTCATTTATTAATCGACCTTTTTTCTCAAAAAAGCGTCATGTTCTAAGGATAATGCGAATCGTAGTCTTGCTCTCCTATTCAACACCTAAAACTGAAAGTTTAATGTTCACAGATCGCCTTCACTTAGCAAGATATACAGCATTCTCATCAGGATGTTCGAAAAGTTACATACCTTCCAAATTGAAGGCGTTTTATAACTCGCGTAGAATCCGTGATTTTTCAGAAACCCTGACGAACAAGGCAGGCACGATACTGCAAAGAATGCTTACATTAAAGCTGTATCAAATGCGAGACGACATTGTGAGGCATGTGATTTGCCCGAAAAGCCCTGGCTGTGTATCTGTCCATATTTTAATCCTGTGATAATAATTATTCGAGTCATTTCTTAGCATATTGCCCTTTTATTTTATCGTTGAACTGGGCTATTATATCATGTTTTTTTCCTATCACGTTAGGGACTTTTACTTGAAATAATCAGTGCCTTCATATTTAAAAAAATGTCACAATTGTTGATCTTTCATTTCATCAGACCCCTTCAATTTGAAAATAAAATTTCAATCACGAGACAAATACAATTATTCACAGCATGAATCCTCGTCTGCAATGCTGATTTTGTCCATTTCTGATACTCATACGCAGTATCTAAAAAAATTTCCATGTTGAAAAGCATGAGAGCATTCCACTAATTGAATTCAATACATATTTCTCACACAAAAATGTGCATTTCCTCACTAAGCGGTGTATTCTAAATCACATGCTGAATTAATGCATAAAAAAATGAAACAAGTCCAAAATTAATATATTACAGAATTTAAAAACAACCCCCCACCCACAATACGTATGCATGTCGGAGGCAAATAGTCAAGTCAGGCATTTTACCAAATGCCTAAGCAGATACTCAAATTTTCAGTGTTTACAAGGCTTTCTATGTTTTCACAAATACCTCTCTAATTCTCAATATTTTGAGACTAAAAATCCGTCTAACTCCTAACAGTCATTTAATTTCCCGTTCAAAAATGCTCCTCATAATTCTTCAACCGCCCCAATTGTGTAAAATTTATTTTACAAAATGCTGCATGTTTTGAGATAAATTTGCATTCAAGGACCAGAAAAAAACGTATTTATTATCGCATGGAACAAGTTTTTAAAGGGAGTTCATTTCCACACGATCAGAGAATTATTTTGTCTACAGTCAGCAAAATAATCAGAATTTCAGTCCAAGTAAGAATACTTAACTAAATAGTTAGGTAATAGGTAAATTAGGTAAATAGTCTAGGCAAATGCCTAGGCATTTAACAAAAACCTGATTTGATAATTTGCTATCGACATATGGACATATTTATGCTAAAAGGAACCTTGTGCATGGGGTTTGGGTGTGACATACTTCCTTCCAGCATAAATACGTCCATATATACTCACCCTCCTAGACGTGCATGTAGATTGGGCAAAAACCAATCGAAGGAGCGACGAACAGAAAAGAAGTTGGAGGCAATACAATTACCTCTCCGCATCTGGTATTCGTGCGGTGGGAACATTAAGCCGGGCGGAAGATGAAAAAAGTAATGTTTCACTCAAAAATACTATGACGCAGCGGCGAGATTCGACGTGTATTTTTGCGAAACTGCCAAACAGTTTATTTGATGACTCGCTCGCATGCACGACGGACGGGACCCGGGAACGGCGCACTGATGCCTGGATGTAATAATGAAAATGAAATTAAGTTAAACCGTCGGTAAGCAGGTTCGCTCGCTTTTCAGTAAGGTCCGCGAGGAAGTTATTAGCCGCGATTAAATCAAGGCAGGTTCCAGGCAATATGTGAGCATTTATACGTATATGAATAAAATTATTTTTGAGAAATCACTATTTTGCGTGCTGTTGCAATATTTATCTTATTGGTCCGCATACTTAAGCCGCCCACCGCCCCTCGCCGGACTCCCGCCATCCCATATTTTCTTTTTTAATTTAAAGAAAGGGGAAAATAATTGCTCAAAACTGCTACTTTAATCGGAGCACTTCATTATGTGCCTCCTTTTCTTCCGCAGGCCACGTTTGCATGATACCTGTCGCAAATGCGCCTTGATCTATGCTGCCGTGATAAGGGAAAACACCGTATGATCCTTCAGGCGTTGCCAAATTTCTCCTGGCAAATCACTAATTTCAGGAAAATTTTTGAATATTTGTTTATCAATTTCTCAGATAATTTTGTTTGTAAATTGATCTAAAACTTCTGAAAATTTTAAGGAAAAATATTCATAATTTTTCCTCGAAAATTAACATTTTATCGAAGGAAATTTGGCAACTCTCGAGTGTCCATGCAGCGTTCTTCCTTAGCACGGCAGTATGGTATGGATAACAGTAGATAAACAGTTATGAACACACGACTGGATATTCGAATCAATTTTAGTATGAGAGAGCAATCCACAACCGACATGATGTCCGTAACAACAATAATGATTTTATCTGAAAAGTAACACATAGAAAAGTACTTACGACACCATTTTAAAACTTTTTCTCACATTAGATATAATCTTAAGGTAGGGTTTATTCTGGTCCATTCCATAAACAACTTTAACGGGTTAGTTGTACGTGCTAAGGAATCGTTTTCATTATCAAATTTCAGAGGTCGGAGAAAAAGTTAGTAACGTAAATGTGGGGTTCACATGACCTGCAATGTGAGCGGATCCACGCCCTAATCGCACTCACCTCTAATGAAACACAGATGGTAAAAGCCCTATGTGGAAACTTTGAATACAGTTTTGCATATGAAAACATGATGGACCATAAAAAAAGTTTATCATATTTTTATGTGGACACCAGTTTGTTAAATGACAAGCAACGGTAGCTCTTAAGGTACGACACTTAAAGTGCGCAAGTCTGCAGCAAAAACCAGCGACCGACAACGGATTTATAGTAAGTCAAAGGAAATCCAATCGAGTTCCTTTGACGCAAATATTGATACTTTTTTGAGGTAGAAATGACATAGTATAGGGACATAACTATGAGTTTTTGTGTCATTATTCACAATTTGCATTTTTTTTTAAAATACTTTTTTTTCACTGAAGATTCCCTAAGATATTTCAGTTTTACTCTGGCAAAATAATTTGTGGTACCTTTGAAATGTTTTGCAAATTTCGATGTTGAAGATATTTAATTCAGCGTGGCCCGACACAACTTCCCAGCGAAATAATAATTATGAAGAAGAAAATAAAAATAAATCAAGATTGGTATGGAGCCTCCGGTGTGATTTGTTATTCTCTGAGAGGATAGGTAATTGAATGTATTTGCTTTGATGATATGCTTTGTTCACCGATATGAGTGCACGTTGAACTGTAAGACTTAACTCTGCATGCGCTTAATGGCATGTAGGAGATCGCCTGTTTGATGGTATGCAGACAGAAGGTCTACAGCAAAAATGTCCACAAGCAGGAGGTCTACGTCTACAATGTCTAGAACTAAAATGTCCACTGCGAAAATGTCTACAAATAATAAGGTTCTCTAAAAAAAAGTCCATACTCAGAAAGTTCACTTCTGAATGGAATAGGTAGAGTGACATCACATCAGTTACTTCTTTAGTTGTATCTATGGAGAAGAATCATCGTGTATTCATTTTTCTTTAATAGACGCGGTACATGTAGGTATTTACTTTCATGGGCATTCTAAAAGTAGACTGCTTAATTTTAGACATTTTGACTGTAGACCAAAAAATGTAGACATTTTTTGAGGAAACCTTTTCCTCGTAGACCTAGTGTCCGTGATTCTGTTTGATTCGGTTGTTGCTTCGATAAAGAGTTTTAGTTACAAGTATAGGTATCAAATCCTATTTCTTCAGACCTTGGTATCTATAGGTATGCAAACAGTTGCAGGCAAAAGGACAGGAAGTTGAATCATTGCTTTTCCCTTGAAGAAAAGTCAACAGGCAGTGCATTTCAAATATGAGATCCAACTCGATATCTTAATAATATGTCGGGCTCAAAGTCTGGTGGGTGGGGTTGCGAGAGTTTCCCCCATCTTGGGCGGAAATGCCATGAACACGTGTGAAAATTGAGACCCGAAGCACGATCGTTAGTAATTTGAGAAAAGCATGTCCTGGCGCGGTGAGACCGCGGAGGCATGTTCTTTTTGATGGCTCGATTTTCACTAATCATCAATTTGCGTTGCAGGCGTAGATATGAGAGCAGATGATAGCTACAAGAGGAGAGTAAATATGTAATTATAGGCTCGCTGAATTATTCAGCCAATCGGATGAGTGTCTATTTGCTTTAGCTCAGCTAACCCCTCTGAAGGCAGATATTGTTTCCGCACGTGAGTTGGTTCCGGGTTCCAGTCATCAGCATAAACTGTTTCAAGCTCATCCTCAGGCGTGGAAAGCCCATCCATCGACAACTTCCATCACGCAGTCCAAGTTCAAGGGGTTGGGTCTCAATTTGTGACAACCCGGAATGGTAGCAGTAAATATATAATTCAATAACATATCCCAAAGCCTCATGTATAATTTCTTGAGAGTTGAGGAGGCCGCTTCAGTATGAAAAATTCATGACTAGTTTTACAACTTGTCTCAGATGAGAAGCAAGAAAGCAATATCGTACATTATTGAACCAATGTCTCACCGATCCGACATAATAATCGTCTGTTTCCTAAATTCTTGTCGATAAACATGATTTATTTAAATAATTGAATTCTTAATAAACTTATTTGATGTTTGTAGGTAAAAAACCTTTCGCAAGGGAAAAAAACTAAATAAAAATATGAGGGCTAAACTATGCATGTTCAGAGATTTTCTTTTCCTCTCCTCTCAGAAAGTGGCATGTTATAACCCTTACACCATATGAAGCTTTGCTGATAACTGCTTCAGTTAAGTGGTTTTACATGCT